TTTTTTTTTTTTTTTTTTTTTTTTTTTTTTTGGTACCAGGGATTGAACTTATCATTTTAAACTTAACAGAAACTGTTAAAATATTTAGTAATCTATTTAAATATTAAAATAAGCACCAGATGTTAACAGAGAAAATTTTTTGTTTTGGTACCAGGGATTGAACTTAGGACCTTGCGCTTGTGAGGCAGATGGCAGAACCACTGAGCTAAATCCCCAGCCCCAGAAAACTTATTTTAAAAAAAACAAAACAAAACAAACAAAACTACATTTTAAAAAAGAAAGTTTAGTGAGAATGGAACTGCAGTTCTCTTAATGTCTGGCTTAACAGCAGCCAGATGGATTCTCATCTTTGCTTCTGCATTCGATGTGAAGCATATGAAGAAAATCTGGTCTCACAAAAATCTTGTGGGCCTCCTAAAAGGTCTTATGGACTCTTTGAGAAGCACTGTTTTACAATATGATTCCTGTATCTGACTTTTCAGTAGCTTCCTGCAGCATCTTGCACAAGTTTTAGTTTTGTTCTTTTTAGAACTTCTGTCTTCTTTTCCACTAAGTAGATATAGGAATAAAGAGAAAGAAGAGCCATTCAAGGCAGCACAAAGATGATACCACTAAAATTTCTCTTTGTCTCGTTTGTCTTTCCTCTTCTAGATGCCCCAAATTAGAAGGTTTTTAGTCTGAGTGAAGTAACTTTTCAATTTAGGCATAAATAAAAATTGCAAAATAGCCTCTTTGTTAAAAGGAACAGCTTTCTTAGTGAAATGAGAATGGCTGTAGAACACACCTGCCTTAAATTGTAAACTTTAAAAAAAAAACAAAACAAAACAGGGCACACAGAACATTTTGAACACATAATATTTTTCAACAGAATTCTGAGTTGAATTTAAATACCATTTACAAAATGTGTATTTTTGTTTGGAATATATTGAAACTGAGTTTGTAATATTTTTTTTAAAGATAAAAAGGTTAAAATGCAAGAATAACATTGATTTTTTGTGAACATTAAAAGCTATGAAAATATTGTAGCTGAAACTTTCAAGTAATTCAGCAACATCTCAGGGTCTAAAAATGTAATTCATGGAGAAACAGCCTCAATTCTTACCATCCACAAAATGGATCCAGACAACTGTTCAAATTGATGGGACCCACTCCATCGAGATTTCACTGTGGCTAGACCAAAATCACCTATTTTTACTGTGAGATCTTCATGAAGAAATATATCTGAGGTGCGGTAAGTAAAGGAAAATAATTTTTTCTATTAGAATACACATTGAATGCATTAGGAAGATTTTAGGTACGAGATCTAGTTTCTATAATTCTGTAATATGATATGCTTTAAAAAATATAGTACTTTCACTTTTCGTGAGGTCAATAAATATGTTTTAAACAATAATTAGTTCTAGTTGGTGTATAAGTCCCACTTTTAAGATTTTTCAGGCTTGGAATGTGCGAGGATGAGGTGAGATGCTTTATGCCTACAGGATATCCAGAAACTCTTCATCTGATTTTGGACATGCAGGCCCAGAAACCCTTTAGCCCTACTAGGAAAGCTGTAAAAGCGCTTTACAGGAATAGAGATCCTAGGAGATAGATAGGATCTTATTCTGGGCACTAGGAAGAAAAATTGTTTTTCCCCACCTCGCTGTTAAACTAGGAGATAGCTACAGAACTTATCCATTTTACTGTAAAGGATGAAAGTAAGCAAGCAATCAGAAAAACACCACTATTAAGAAGACTTTTGATAGATTTTGTTGTAGTGCTCAGTCATTCAGAAACCAAAAGCAGGCTGTGACATGTGGCTCTGTTACACTTTCATGGAAAATTATTATTAATTTCCTTTACAGTAAACTGAACTTATCATGAAAACTGTATGTAATGTGACACAAAATACAGACGAAAAAGTCAGGATGTTTTCAAACTTCACAGACAGATTTCAGGAAGGATACTATTACTCTTGAGGTCTCTGTGGATGATTGACTTGGCGTGTAAGTAACTGAAAAACAAAACATTATTTTAACCTGAGTACAGAGTAAAGAACTCTGGTTTTAAAATTTATAGAACATATTTAGAGGTGTAAAGTCTTATTTAGAATCATGATACAATTTAAATCTGTACATTGCGATGTTTTACACAGTATAAAATTTGACTGTCAATGAATTTAGGACTATAGAAACATTACAATGTATAGCCCAAAATCTTGTTTTCTATTAAAAGACTGCTTTTGTCTTTTACTAGTTCCAAATACAAACCTTTCACTCCAGTCAAGCCTATTTACCCATGTTCTGAAAATACACCTTGACACTGAATCCCACCTCCATATCCCACCACCTCCTGCACCAGCTCCCCAAATCAGCTTTCATCATTTTCATCCATCTAGATGGAACACAAGTTCTCACTCTTGAATGAAACTTTCCTATGACTAACCCAACTGAAGCTTATCTTTTTAAAAACTTTTTTTATTAGATGAAATTATCTTTAACTTCCACCTTACAGAGCAATTATATAAAACCTTCATTCATGTGTTTACTTTCCATTTAGAATTTAAACTCTACTAGAATATAAAAGTTTGGTAAATTACAGCTATTTTAAAGATAGTATGATATATCCTTAAAACACTTTATTAAAACTAGCGAGCCACAAACTTCTTCTATAATGGCCACAGTAGACTTATTTTAAAGTCAATCATCTAGTTAAGCCCTACAAATTGCTTTGTGTTTACTGAAGGAAAGGGTTATTCTGTTTATCTCCACTGCCTGCCAGGCCAGATAAGAGGTTAAGCATGTAATAAGTATTTGTTGAATCAACTACAATAACATGTACATAATGTCCTAGGTCAGGTTATTTTTCATTTAATATTGGGGAAAAAGACAGATGAGACTACAAAATCTAACAATGACTATTAAGAAATACATTCTGCCTTAAAATGAGAATTTAAGGTCCAAATGTTATAGGGCTGGGGATTTAGCTCAGTGGTTCTGCCACCTGCCTCGCAAGCACTAGGTCCCGAGTTCAATCCCCAGTACAAAAAAAAAAAAAAAAAAAAA